GTGTGAACAGAAGGACGGCCCCTAGAGGCCGACCAGGGACGGGACTGAGAGTGTGACGTTCGTCCTGAGGGTGCTGCTGCTGCGGAAACATGATGGAGTCATTAAAATCAAAAGGGTTTAACCTCTGGGGAGCAGCATGTACATGTCCCACTGACGCAAACCCAAAGTACATAAATTAGTTTTCAAAGCATTTCCCCCCCCTCCTCATTTTCAGATCCCTTGTTAATTACATTTGCTCAATGTTTTTGAAAAAAGAATTGAGAAAAAGCTAAGGAACGTTCAGGAAAACAGTTTGAAGTGAAAATGGTGGCGCAGCGGTTAGGACGTCACCTCACAGTAAAAGGCTTCCGGGTTTGAATCCACCGGTCGGCTGGAGCCCTTCTGTGCTTGACATGTTCTCCCCGTGTCAGCGTGGGTTTCCTCCAGGTGCTCCCACATGTTCTCCCTGTGTCAGTGTGGGTTTCCTCCAGGTGCTCTGACATGTTCTCCCTGTGTCAGCATGGGTTTCCTCCAGGTGCTCTGACATGTTCTCCCTGTGTCAGCGTGGGTTTCCTCCAGGTGCTCTGACATGTTCTCCCTGTGTCAGCGTGGGTTTCCTCCAGGTGCTCCAACATGTTCTCCCTGTGTCAGCGTGGGTTTCCTCCAGGTGCTCTGACATGTTCTCCCTGTGTCAGCGTGGGTTTCCTCCAGGTGCTCTGACATGTTCTCCCTGTGTCAGCGTGGGTTTCCTCCAGGTGCTCTGACATGTTCTCCCTGTGTCAGCGTGGGTTTCCTCCAGGTGCTCTGACATGTTCTCCCTGTGTCAGCGTGGGTTTCCTCCAGGTGCTCTGACATGTTCTCCCTGTGTCAGCGTGGGTTTCCTCCAGGTGCTCTGACATGTTCTCCCTGTGTCAGCGTGGGTTTCCTCCAGGTGCTCTGACATGTTCTCCCTGTGTCAGCGTGGGTTTCCTCCAGGTGCTCTGACATGTTCTCCCTGTGTCAGCGTGGGTTTCCTCCAGGTGCTCTGACATGTTCTCCCTGTGTCAGCGTGGGTTTCCTCCAGGTGCTCTGACATGTTCTCCCTGTGTCAGCGTGGGTTTCCTCCAGGTGCTCTGACATGTTCTCCCTGTGTCAGCGTGGGTTTCCTCCAGGTGCTCTGACATGTTCTCCCTGTGTCAGCGTGGGTTTCCTCCAGGTGCTCTGACATGTTCTCCCTGTGTCAGCGTGGGTTTCCTCCAGGTGCTCTGACATGTTCTCCCTGTGTCAGCGTGGGTTTCATCCACAAGATTCTTGTAAGAGAATATTTAAACGCCTTTTTTAATAGTAGACGATACAGAGAGATTGAAAACAGAAGGGAACATTGTTCTTGTTCTGCATCACAGATCACCGCTCCACCACGATGCTTCTTGGTTTTGTCTCTTCACATTTTTTGGAAAATGAAGGAGAACATTTGCAAGAACAGAGACACAGAGAAACAACAAGGCAGAAAATAAAAAGACCTTCACAGAGAATAAGAAGCTGTTGCCTTGACGACAGATCACATGCGCTAAGCGTGGCGTGACAGTGTGCGTCTGCAAGTTGAAAAATGGGAAAAAAAGTGATGGACGAATAAACAGATAAATGATGCTGGATGCTGTTGCCATGGCCGTGCCTCCGGCTGCCTCCGGCTGCCTCCGGCTGCCTCCGTGTTTTATATCATCACTCGTGGGCTAAACAGGAAGTTTGCTGCAAACTGGATGGATTATGATAATGGTCTCAGAGGCCAGGTGCATGATGGGAATGGAGATGAGCGTGCGGAGGTTGGATATGAGGCAGATTATGGAAATATGACGGTCTGGAGTTTAGAGTTTCGCTGGCTGCTCAAAGACTTAGAGAGTCTTATCTCAAACAGATTAACTCTCAGTGGAGGGCTGTCTCTCTCTCAGCCTGTCTGTCTGTCTGTAAATTAATAATACAGTCCGTAAAACACTTTTGGTAGAAGAACATGAGATCATCTCCTCTGTGCGTCTGCCGCTCACTTTGATTGACAGCTCTTGGGTAAAGGTCAGCGCTCGCTCTCGGTCGCTGTGAAATCATAAATGTCTCCGCGGTCACTCCAACACCAATAATCCGAATAAAACCAATAAAAGTAGCATCACCTCGCTGAGTTCACTCTCTGTCCTCGACTGCCTGTCTCATTACTATTCATGAGCTGTGGGTGGGGCTGAAGGTCGACGCAGGACCCCCTCCCCCTCCATCCAAACATCATGAATGTTAATGAAAGCACAAAGGACGCAGGTTAATATTCATGAGGAGGTGGATGTAACCCGAGCAGCTAAATAGCTGCGGTGGCATTTAGAGGCCAAGTTTTTCTTAATGTGTTCGCACTGTAGTTTATTAACACACACACACACACACACACACACACACTCAGTCTGAGGGTTAGAGATCAGACGTACATCAGGATCACACTTCAAATTGAATTAATGTCCCAGAGTGCACCTGCGTGTGTCAGTTCAGAGTCCAGAAAGAGTTATAAAATATTTCAGTGCAGAACAAGTTGGTCCAAAAATTCTTCTTCTTTTATCTGTTCATCTCAGTTTAATGTTTTTGGCGAGCTGTTCTGATCAAACATATTCAGTGATGTCGATGGTTTTGGACCCACAGGTGGTCACTTGAGTGTCTGTCCTATGCAAGAGTCCAACGTCCTTCTGACATCATGTCGATGTCTGGTGCCAGCTGGGTGGAGTTGGTTCTGTTTCCTGGTACCACTGTTGTAAATAAATGCAGTCATTGTTAAGACCCACCAAACTGACTTCAGAGAACTAGCGGCGATGGCGGCCCTCTGCTGGTTTACCTGATGTTGCCGTGTCTCGGCCAAAAAGTTGCACATGAACACACCACAAAGACTGCAGCTGACAGTCAGAGGGAGGTCACTCACCAACAGACTCTGCTATGCCAACGCCAATTCAACATGCTGAATCGGTCTCAAAGAAGCCGACTGGGCCTGATGGGGGCCAACTGTGTGGGACACAACTAGATGCTCACTGATGGCACAACTTTGACCAACGGACGACCCTCGGCTTGATGCATCAGGGCGTTGTTACAACCCAGCTCTCAGGCTGCAACAAGGATGTGAGACAAGTTTACAAAAAGTTAAAAGCTTATTTATTTACAAAATAATGATAAATAACCAAATGAAGGTGAAAGTCAATCATCAGTCATGTCTGTGTGTATGGGAGTGAAGAAATGTCTGTAGACAAAGCAAACCAACAGCAGCTGCCATGAGGAAAGTGGAAGTCTGATGGAAGGCGATGAGCATATTGGCCCAGGTGAGGCCCAGGTGAGGCCCAGGCGTGGCCCAGGTGAGGCCCAGGTGAGGCCCAGGTGAGGCCCAGGCGTGGCCCAGGTGAGGCCCAGGTGAGGCCCAGGCGAGGCCCAGGCGTGGCCCAGGCGTGGCCCAGGTGAGGCCCAGGCGTGGCCCAGGTGAGGCCCAGGTGAGGCCCAGGTGAGGCCCAGGCGTGGCCCAGGTGAGGCCCAGATGAGGCCCAGGTGAGGCCCAGGCGTGGCCCAGGCGTGGCCCAGGTGAGGCCCAGGCGTGGCCCAGGTGAGGCCCAGGTGAGGCCCAGGTGAGGCCCAGGCGTGGCCCAGGTGAGGCCCAGGTGAGGCCCAGGTGAGGCCCAGGCGTGGCCCAGGCGAGGCCCAGGTGAGGCCCAGGCGAGGCCCAGGCGTGGCCCAGGCGTGGCCCAGGTGAGGCCCAGGCGTGGCCCAGGTGAGGCCCAGGTGAGGCCCAGGTGAGGCCCAGGCGTGGCCCAGGTGAGGCCCAGATGAGGCCCAGGTGAGGCCCAGGCGAGGCCCAGGCGTGGCCCAGGCGTGGCCCAGGTGAGGCCCAGGTGTGGCCCAGGTGAGGCCCAGGCGAGGCCCAGGCGTGGCCCAGGCGTGGCCCAGGCGAGGCCCAGGCGAGGCCCAGGCGTGGCCCAGGCGTGGCCCAGGCGAGGCCCAGGTGTGGCCCAGGTGAGGCCCAGGTGAGGCCCAGGTGAGGCCCAGGCGAGGCCCAGGCGTGGCCCAGGCGTGGCCCAGGTGAGGCCCAGGTGTGGCCCAGGTGAGGCCCAGGTGAGGCCCAGGTGAGGCCCAGGTGAGGCTCAGTTTTACACCCTGCTGTGACCTGTTGCCTTTTAGGAACGTGTTTGTTCAGTGCTCTTATTTTGTAATGAAAATAGTTTAATACCAAAGTTTCCATTGAACAAAATGTTCCCTCACTCTGCAGCTGGGGGATTGTGACTGTCATCACGCTGAATCGACCGACCTGAAGACAGCAGAGACTAACGAGTGTGTTTCAGTCGCTACAATAAAGAGCGACCTCAAAGTTTTTACTCCTCAGTCTGTGTTTAGTTTAACCTCTTGTACTCCACCCCCATTTTGTAGCAAAAACGCCTAAAATGACATACCCAAATTAAAATGACTGTAGCTTTTGAACCGCTCTGACTACATGCATGCATGAGGTCTTGCCAGAAAGAAAACTCCCTGAAGTTTCTTGTGAAAGTGTCAGAAACATTCTAGGTGATACAGAGACAGAGTAATGGGCCTCTGAAGTCAGTAAAAAGTTGAAGATTTTGCCTAAAATAAAATAAAAAATGTGTTTCAGGGTGAATAACTGTCTGTGGCTTCATCTGAGCAGGTAAATGACGCTGTGGGGCTGTAGGCACACTATCAATGAACACTTGTTTCAAATTTGAAGAAGACTGCTCAAAGTATGACCATTCTACAGTGTTTTTACCATGAAAAGATCCAGGCGGAGCTCCAAATGAGGACGTCGGCGTGTAAGTCCTGTCCCAGACCATGAAACTGATACTTGATTCCAGCCAGGTTCATCCTTACTCTCACCATGTCTCTTGTCTCCAGCTTCACTTTCACCAGTCAACAGAAAAAACACCACAGAAGAAGAGAACATTGTGGTGTGAGCTGGTATGACTGGGCCAAGATGAAGCTGTTTGTGAAGTGACAGCTTGGTGTTAAACGTCTTCTCTCTGTCTCTCTCTCAGGGCCGGGTACCTCCCACAGGGCATCCCCTTGCAGCTGATTGGCTACCTCCCGGAGGAGTCGTCCTTCCTGCCATGGCACTCCGCCAGCCGAGCGCTCTACCAGCTGGACAAACTGCTGGACCGCACGGATGAGTACAGCCTGTTCAGTGTAAACACCCCATCGATCAATTACTGTCTCCATCAGTCCTTCAGTCAATCAATCAGTCCGTCAGTAACAGCTCCGTGTCAGCTGAGCGCAGTGTCTCTGCAGCGCTGACGCCCCGATGCCTGTTGATTAACTCTTAAATCGGTGTGTGTGTTTCTGTGTGTTATCAGGATTATGTGCTGAAGCAGGTTGCATCACGGTACCATCAGATGGGTTGGCCAACAAACGGCCCCGGCAGCGAGGGCAACGTGCTGCAGGCATCCTACCAGACTGAGTATGCAACACACACACACACACATTAATAACACTGAGGGGTTTATTTTAATCACCCAACAGAAAGCTCAGAGCTGTAGGTCGCAGTGATCAGACTGTGTGGGCGTCTCCAAACACACCTGCTCTCACTGTTGAAGAACAAATCATAAAACACCACATTAGCACAACGTTCAGTCCTCACAGGAAACCTTTTACCATATTTACTGAATATGAGCGAGTCAGTTTCTGCAGCACATTTCAGCAGCAAGGCAGCTCAGAGTGCTCAAACATAAAACATCAAAAGCATCGAGCCAAAGTGCAGAAGAAACACATTATAAAAGGACAATTAAATGCAATTAAAAATGCCATTAAAGAGTCGGGAAGTCGGAAATAAAAGTGAGTTGAAATATTGTAAGACAGGCGTAAAATACGAGAACAATAGTTGCAGTGCAGTGTCAGAAATTAATGAATATTTTAATTAATAAAGGCAGCAGCACACAGAACCGTCTTCAGTCTCAGGAGAATGAAACAAACTCAAATGTCACCAAAGGAAAAGATAAAACCAAAGACGGCCAAAACTAAAATCACCATTCGTGGTGCATACAAACGAAGCACTGCCTCTCCATGTTGACATGACGTGGCGTGAACGGTTCCAGCCGCCTCTCTGTCAGCTTAACTAAATGTGTGCTACATTTAGGCTCCTATGTTTATTTTGCAAGTGTTGGTGGTACATCAGTAAACACCTAAGAAAGATGGAGAAGGATGGACACCAGCTGAACTAGCGTCCTGATAGCCAGCGTACAGACGTTGGAAATAAACTGGACGACCTCCATGTTGCATCAGTTTCCAACAGGATATCAGGAACTGTGAGATCCTTTGATTCACCGAACTGTAGGAGCGACCCTGCAGCTGTCTTGTTGAGTTTGGGATGTGTGGACAGTTAAATCATTCCACAACCAGAAACCATGGATCACCAGAACCATCTGGGAACATGGATGATTGTAAAGCTGCAGCAGCGATGGAAGACGACGTAAAAAAGGAGCTGATGTGATCACATTTCACTGGAGTTGTACCTCCATAATAAAACACCTTCAACCTTTCCACTAAAATGCTCCTTTTACACTGCCAGATTCTGGGCCGTTTTGCCGGCAAGCTGCGAGCGTTTAGACACACAGAGCCGGATTGGCGAGTTGATCCAAGGTGCCCAATTTTCCTCCTCGTAGGGTAGACATATTGGTGGAACCCTTTTAGTTTAAACAGACCGAGGCGGCCTTCTGCAACGGGAGGGGCTGTTGATGACTTGTGGGAGGAGCTGTTGATGACGCCGCACGTGCGAGCCACTGGCGGTGGATAAACAGGAAACAGCTGATAGCAGGAATTAGCGAGCAGCTAGTAGCAAGAGGGAAACACAAACCTGACAGACACTGTAAAGATGAGCAACTGGGGAGACAAGGAATTGCGCGCCCTCCTTGTCCTCGCAAACGAAGAGGCCATTAACCATCAGATGACGGGGACGGTGAAGAACGGGCCAACTTACGAGAGAATCACAGAAGGACTGACCAGCCGCGGCTTCCCTCCCACGTCACTGTTTACGTCACACGCTGAGCTACACGTTTTGTTACTTGCTCACGCCCCCCATTGCCCCGAAAAAGGCACATTCTGTATAAACAAAAGTAGGTAGGCGGCATTTTGCTGCACTCCCCGATTTTGTTTTTATACTGCCAATGCTGAAAAAAAACTGATTGGACTTTCCTGCAAATTTGCACAACTCCTGTATAAAAAGGGCTACAGACATGGATGCGTAAATGTCTACTCCTTGAATATGATACAACCTCCACGTAATGTGATTTCTTTGGCTGTTCAATATTAATATTATCCTATTCATTCCTTTTTACCACGAACAGTTTGAGAGGCTGAACCAGTTCAGTGTGACAGTGACGTTCAAGTAATATAGAAAACAAGCTAACGACGCTAACACCGGATCAGGAATGTGTAACGTTTTTCTGACACCAGATATCAAACAAAATGGAGGCTGAAATGTCCTCAGAGGTACTCTGACTAACACGTATATATAGCTATATATAAATTGACTTGAAGCGATCTCAGCCAGCTGAGGCATTGATTTGAATCTACAACTTTCGAGGGGCATTTTCAGGAACAAAACAAATTCTATCTGGGCCGGTAAGGCAGATTAGCTCCTCTTGATCGCCGTCTTACTCACAGTCAGCTGTTACCAGGCAACAAATAAACCAACTTAAGCTACACCAACAGTTCTTCCTGTTTCCAGTCTGTGCTAAGCTACGCTAAATAAGTCCTGGAACTGTTTCTGATCCAGAGATGAAACTTAAATCCACCGTCCATGAGAAGGCTTTTGTAAAATATCACAATGTTCCTTTAATTTAATTATCTGATGACAGACGAAAGAATTTTATTAACGTGATGTTTTCTGTCCTCAGGGAGTTGCAGCGGGAGCTCATCATGTTAGCGTGTAGCTTTGGGAACAAGCAGTGCCACCGTCAGGCCGTCGCCTACATCTCTGACTGGATCTCCAGCAACAAGAACAGGTACCAACACACACACACACACACACACACACACACGGCTCTGCGTGGACTGTTTTATTAATCCCACTCCCTCAGCTCCTGTGTCTGCTCTGTACTCGTGGCCCAGAGGCTTCGTCGCTGCCTGATTACACATGTACAGCATGTGACAGTCAGTCACAGTTGGCAGCACTTTAATGTAATTAATATGTATTTCATGCAGCTCTCACCTGCACGCATGGAAATGTTTCTCACATCCTGCGTCATGTTTCCACATATATGACACACCAGACGTCAGACAGCTTTTAACCTCTTGCTGCCACGGGCAGATTAAGAGACAACGGGCCCCTGGGCGCAGATATGCAAAGGGCCCCGCCACCTCTCACACAGTGAGATTGTTCAGTGATCAATCCACAGCCGCTCTCAGAGGCAGCAAAGTTAAAACCACCTGCTCCCACGAGATTTGTGTTGAGTCCCACAGGACCTGCAGGATCCTAATCCCACTGCAGTCCGCCAACACACACACACTGTAGACACACACACACTGCAGCTGACTGTCTTTATTTAACCCTTGTGTCACCACAGGTGGGAAGGAATGAAAAATAATGCCAGAAACAACCAAAATTTTTCTGTGTGTTTGGAGGTCGCAGCTGTAAAAACACAGATTCTTACTTTGTGCTGAAACCAGATTTACTTAATGACAGTGTCAGTCTTAGTCTGGCTGCACGCAGACACAGACACCCAGCTAACACAGCAGCAGCAGCTAGATAGATAGATAGATAGATAGATAGATAGATAGATAGATAGATATTGTCATTGCATATAAAAAACACAACGAAATTTCGTTTGCAGCTCCAACAATCAGCATAAAAAAAGCATAAATAGGTTAAGGTAATAAATAAATAGATAATGCACTTGTACTGTTCGTCAGCTAAGTGTATGTGTATGTTTATGTCAGAGGAGAGAATCCACAGCTCTTGGAAAGAAGCTGTTTTTTAGTCTGTTGGTTCTGGCTCGGATGGTTCTCAGCCTGCCTGAAGGGAGGCTGCTGAACAGGGAATGTCCAGGGTGAGCGTGGTCCTTAAGGATGTTGGAGACCCACTTGTGGAGGCAGCTTGAGTAGATGTTGCTCAGCTGCAGGAGTGGAGAGCCGACGATCCACTGAGCTGTTTTAACCACCTGCTGAAGGTCTTTTCTCTCCGCTGCGGTACAGCTGGAGTACCAGGCTGTGCACCCATAAGTTAGTACTCTTCCGATGGTGCATCTGTAAAAGTTGACGAGCAGCTTCTGAGGAAGTCTGTTGCGCTTCTGAGACGCTTCTGGGCCTTCTTGATCAGGTGTGAGGTGTTAAGGCTCCATGTGAGGTCTTCAGAAGTGTGGACTCCACTTTCTCCCCATCAATGTGCAGCTCAGTATGAAGTGTGTTTTTGTTTTTCCTGAAATCTATGATTATTCCTTTGGTTTTCTTTGCATTGAGGTTGAGGTCATTTTCCTTACAGCAGGCTGACAGTGTCCAGACTTCCTCCCTGTGCGCTGCCTCGTTGTTGTTACTAATAAGACCCACAATGGTCGTGTCGTCTGCAAACTTGACCACTAGGTTGGATAGTTGTGTGTGTGTGTGTGTGTGTGTGTGTGTGTGTGTGTGTGTGTGTGTGTGTGTGTGCAGCCACACGAGCTGTCCCTGGCACTGGGCTCACACTCTGCAGCAGTAGGCTTCTTGCAACTTGCCTTACAATAATGGAAATGTATTTCTTTTGTTGTTTTCTGCAGAGACTTCGCTGTATTTCCTGCTGGGATGGTGCCAAGAAAAGCAACTGTTTGTTTAACAAAACATGGCTGTGCTTTCAGCAGCTTTAAGGCACCAAATGTGAGAGTTTTGTAGAAGAAGAAGAAGATATACTTTATTAATCCTGGAGGGCATGTTCAATATTTTCACTCTGTTGTCCCGAATTATACACACATGCACAAACAGGACGTGTGTATGTATTAAACAGCGACATGTCAGAATGAGGAGGCTGCCTTGGTCGGGTGCCCCGAACACTTAAGGGTTTGATGTCTTGCTCAAGGGCACTGGTGGACCGGTACCTCTCCAGCTACCAGTCCACGCTCCACAGTTGGTCTAGACGAGGACTTCAGTTCCAAAGCCAAGTCTCTATGGACCGAACTGCTGCAACTCATCGCTGTTTTTTCACCAGGATAGTAACACAAAAAGCGTCTGATTGTTTCTGAGAAATTGCTGCAATTCTTGGTTAAATGCTTTCGTGACAAGCAGTGTTTTCTTTTTGTTTTACCAAAACATTGCTGCGTTTTCAGCGGCTTTTTTCAGGCACCAAATGTGGGTGTCATTTAGAGACCTGTCCCTGTCTTTCAGCAGGGATAGTGTGACATGAAGTGGTTGTTTTATCTAGACATTGTCTCATGATAAAGGAAATGATTCATGAGTGTATTTGCATCTAGAGCAGGAACACGCAGTCACTTGAGACACACGTGGAGACACACTTTAATGCCAGGTGTGGACAGACAGACAGACACAAAGGGGTCCATTGTGATCCCAGATGTGTGATGACAGCAGGTTTAAACGGTGTATAAATGTAAAACACTGTCTTGACTGGAGTAAAACTAAAGTCCAGAATAAATCTGGTCGCTGCAGCTCCACCACCTGAAGCTTCACAAATGAAATGAAAAAATATGAGCTGCTTCAGGCAAAAACTTTCTGCTGAATATATTGTATTATTCCATTTTCTTAAAGTTGAAGTATCTCAGCAGAGTAAACATTTCTGACACCCAGAGTCAGCTCACGTTGGGCTCTTAATTTTAACGTCTGAAGGTAAAAGTGAAAACAAAAAGCACTGCAGCAGCTCCACCTTCACATCCATCCATTTGTTTCATTCTACTTTTCATTCTTCTCTTTTCACCGTCTCGTCCTGTCTGCCTTTAACTGTTTCTCTTTCATGTGCTCCTGGCTCGTTCGCTCCCTCTGGGTCCTTAACGAGATCTGCAAAATTAGATTTCAAACAGCAAATTAAACAGAAACAGATGCTGGTGTTTCTGTACAGGACAGCAGGGAGCGGATGATAAGAGGGGTGCTTAAATTAAAAAGGCTAAATTAAACAGCGTTTCACACTCCACCCGCCACATTTATGAGCGGACTCTGAGAGACGGAGCAGGTCGCGTCCTCACTTAATGTCAGATTCTTGTTTACAACTTGTTTTCTCATAGTTCAGCGTCTGCAGCCGAATATTTCGCTGCCCTTTACACCAAATGTCTTTTCCAGTCCTCTCGCTTTCAAAGTTAAGTTGTTGTTTGCAGAGCAGGCGGCGAGGGAGCGGTTCACATGACGACCATATGGCAGCACTTTTTGGAAAAGCTCCATTTTTCTGTCCTCAAGACAACAAGAGTGTGGCCTTTTCAAATTTGGGAAGTAATTTGGAAACACTCCATTTTCAGAGTTGGGAAGGTGCCGAATAAATCTGCATTCATGAAGGACTCATCTCTCCAGGGATGATTTTTTTTTTTCCATGCTCTATTCAGTGATTTTAATCTGAGGATCACATGTATGTGGATTTCCTCCCAGTTCACCAGCATTCATTACAGACCTGCTTTTTATCAGAGTGCCACAATAATTAAAAGCCCGGTCCCCAGAGGAAACTTTTGGCATTGTACTTTTCTGCATAACACGAATAAGTCACATATGTACGTTTCATACGTTTCTTAAGTGTATATGAGCTGCAAGACGCCTGCCAGGCTGCAGACCATGCTTCAGGACCAACAAACAAACCTGTCTGTTTTTACCAGGACACTGTCGTGTCTGAGCAGCTGTTTAGGCACCAAAGCTGGGTGGTTTCTTTAGTGACCTGTTGCTTGTTTCCTGCCAGGATAGCGTTCGGGTTACACACAAATTGCGGTTGTTTTTACCGAGACACTGCTTCATTTCCTGCCGGGATAGTGCCACAAAAAGCACTTTATTTTTTCTACGAGATATCTCTGCATTTCTTGTCAAGATAGTGCCATAGAAAGTGGTTGTTTTCTACTGAGAAAGTGCTGCGTCTGCTGTCAGCATAGTGCCACAAAAAGCGGTTTAGTTTTTCTATGAGATATCGCTGCATTTCTTGCCGGTATAGTGCCGTAGAAAGTGGCGTCTTGGCTCCATAATAACATGTGAATGAAACATATCTGTGGTTTGCAGTAACGCACGATGCCGACATGTATTTTGCTCTTTGGTTTCTAATTAAAATCTCTGGCAGGAGAGCGCTCGTCTGACTTTGCTCTGTTATTAAAAAAGGAGAGAACATGAAAGGTAAGTTAATGCAGCACCTGTGTAACTCTCAGTACATTAATTCTGTGCTCCTGCAGCGACGTGTATGAAACTACAGTTACAGTGACAGAAAGAGAAAAGGCTTTGAAATGAGTCAAACAGCAGACCTGCGTCACACCTGCGTCTCCTGCATGAACAGGGTGTCAGGAAACCACCTGCTGTAATGTGACTCTGGCTAAAATCCAGTCCAGGACAAAGAGTGTAATTACTGCAGAGCCCACATCCCTCCGGATTATGAATCATGTCCCACTGGGGCTTTATTGTAAATGAACCGTCTAAATGGATCCAAAAAAAAGAGCTGTTTCAAATGTATCTTGGTGGAGCTGCAGCCACTGATGGATTAACCTGGCGGGGGGTCCCAGGGCAACAATGAACCGCTGGGCCCCCATTAACCCCCCCCCCGTGTCTTTGTGTGCAGTGTTTCTGTGCTGGTACGTTACCTGGGCTCAGGTTTACTGTGGCTTCTCTGCTGCACGTTTCTCCTGTGATGATGATGATGATGATGATGATGATGGTGTCTCCACATCGCTCGGATTCACTTCAGTGTCAGAAAACTGACGAACACACCAAAGAACAAAGATTTTCTGAGGCTAAAAATTCTGACATCATGAACACTTCAGGATGTTACTGTCAGCTGTTGAGCGCTGAGAAAGGAAGCTTGGTTTGAACTATTTGCTGCCTTTTCATATCAACACCTGAGTTCAACGCCATGAACGACTACGAGTAGAGACGTCTCTCCTCGGCCTATTATGGGCTGTTAATAACTTTGCCTTCAAGTGTTCAGAACAACTAGAAACACTTTTGATTTCCAAGGCTGCCTTCACACCTGTAGTCGGCTTCATTTGGTCACACCAGAGTGAAGAAATATCCACTGTTACATTTTAGTTTTGGTTCGAAGAACAGAGAAATACAACTGAACAACGAACTGCACAGCTGCTGAATTCTTGTTTGTCTTGGTCACAGATCTGAGACTGGCTGAATTTCCTCATTAAGTCGCACTTAATTCAAACTCAGCAGAAAACCATCTTAATGCTCCTGTTACTCATCCAGTTAGTCAGTCAACTGTTCCACCGACCAAACGTCCAGTCTGGTTGAAATAAACCTTTAATTCACAGATTTAAATGTATAAAACATCCAGTTTTGCTCATGGTTTCTCTCGCTCGTTGGCCGGCTGTTTGCAGACCTGTGCACCAGATGCGACATACACGTGCCACTCATGCAGCCAGCGTGGCCCAGATGTTATTCCTCTACCACTCTGTAGCCCTTTTTAAACAGGAGTTGTGCAGATTTGCAGGAAAGCCCAATCAGTGTTTTTTCAGCATTGGCAGTATAAAAACAAAATCGGGGAGTGCAGCAAAATGCCGCCTACCTACTTTTGTATATACAGAATGTGCCTTTTTCGGGGCAATGGGGGGCGTGAGCAAGTAACAAAACGTGTAGCTCAGCGTGTGACGTAAACAGTGACGTGGGAGGGAAGCCGCAGCTGGTCAGTCCTTCGGTGATTCTCTCGTAAGTCGGCCCGTCCTTCACCGTCCCCGTCATCTGACGGTTAATGGCCTCTTCGTTTGCGAGGACAAGGAGGGCGCGCAATTCCTTGTCTCCCCAGTTGCTCATCTTTACAGTGTCTGTCAGGTTTGTGTTTCCCTCTTGCTACTAGCTGCTCGCTAATTCCTGCTATCAGCTGTTTCCTGTTTATCCACCGCCAGTGGCTCGCATGTGCGGCGTCATCAACAGCTCCTCCCACAAGTCTTCAACAGCTCCTCCCACACGTCATCAACAGCTCCTCCCACAAGTCTTCAACAGCTCCTCCCACAAGTCTTCAACAGCTCCTCCCACAAGTCTTCAACAGCTCCTCCCATTGCAGAAGGCCGCCTCGGTCTGTTTAAACTAAAAGGGTTCCAACAATATGTCTACCCTAAAAGGGGCTAGTGTCTCAGTGTCCTTTTGTCTCCGCTGCCTGTTCGTCAGAAGAGATGGTAGACTGACCTCTGGTGGCCTGTGCTGTGCACTACATACAATGAGTTGAATAGAAAAGGTGGCGCCTGCTTTTATGACGGTATTGAAATTCATACCATCAGGATTTCTGAATACTCTGATCCACTGTAATATCACCAGGCCTACTGCAGACGACTTCCATCTGCTGGTGTGGAGAGTTATGTCCTCTCACACAGGATCAAATGTGCTGGTTGGCCATTGGTTGGAGTCTTTGTGGTGTGTTCATGTGCAACTTTCATTGCCATCTAGTTCTCCAAAATCAGTTTGGTGTCTGGGCCTTTATACCCAGCTCCGCCGACTCGCACCAGTCTGCTTGTTGTGCTAACCTCAGCATGTGTCGCTAACCACGAATAGCATAAAGGTTTTTATGTAGATGTTGCACCTGTGAACTTTGGTTTCACCTTACCTGCGTCAGCCTACAAATGGTGAATTCTTCAGCATGAATACATGAACTGCTCCAGCCTGAGTCGTGTGGACTGACAGTGTAGTCTCATGTCTGTTGCTCTGCAGTCACAGTGAGAGCACAGCAGCCATCTTCAGTCAGACTTTAACTACCTGACAGGTACTTTAAATGTTTTATCACTCTGCCGCGGTGATTTTCAAAATTCAGAGTGACATTTAGACTGCAGAGTCAGACAGACAGACAGACAGACAGACAGACAGAGCAGATGGTGGAGGGACATGTTTACTGTCAGAATGGGAGTCTGATGCAGAGGAAGACTTGAGTGGGAGGGAGAGATATTTCAGGGAAAGATGGAGCTTTAGGATATAAAACATTCTCTACAGACTGTTAAAACACACACACACACACACAGAGTGAGTGTGTTTGTTAATGGGATCAGAGCCATCTGGAGGTTCCCAGAGACTCTGCTCCTCCATTTTATCGTCTGCAGAGGAGAAACTCTACATTATTACTGTTATTTTTATTAGAAATAGCAGCAGCGGCGGCTGCAGGAGGGCAGGTGATAAAATAGTTAGAGTAGCCGTACAGGACGGAGCGGAGCTGTCGCAGTAAACTCACAGGAGCCTCAATAAATAAACACTTGATAAATAACCTGGTAGAAGCTGCGACATCATGTTATCTGTTACACACACTCATATTCATGAATACACACAGCGCAGTGTTTGACAGATGTCGTCTGAGAAGGACTTTAATGCCACAGTCAGCAGTGTGTGTGTGTGTGTGTGTGTGTGTGTGTGTGTGTGTGTTTGTGTGTGTGTGTGTGTGTGATGCTTGCTCTTAAGTGGAGCATCTCTAAAATGATTTCCCAGGTCGGTGAATGATGTAATTGTCCCTGCATCACTCACTCCGCGCTCACTTAGTATACACACACACACACTCTGAATACACACACACTGATTATGCACACACACGGTGTTCAGTATATATTTTTTGCTGCCAGCTGAGCTCACTGTATTGTGATGACTTTTTAGTTTTGGTTTACTGACAATTTAGGTCAAGTACACACACACACACACACACACACACACACATCATAGTGTGAAGGAAATGTTCACCTTTTTGCTTTCGTGATGATTCAGGCCAGTAACCAGCTGGGGCATTGCAAGTGTGTGTGTGTGTGTGTGTGTGTGTGTGTGTCAGTACTTTCGGTGTATTAAACAACAGAAACAGTAGTTACCTGTAGTAACTCCAGTTCTATGAGGCTCAACCTTAACAACCAGCTCCGCCTCGTTCCCCAACAGGAAGGAGACGACCAGAGGAAACTGAGACACAGTTTGTGTGGCCAATAGGGAAGTCCTGATCCGATCTCAACTATCAGTGTCGGAGCTGATCCGTGTTTTAACTGATCAGGATGGACTGGAACTCATGGGTCATATGTGTGGGTGTCGGGGCAGGTGCAGTATACCAGGTCACGGTTCTGGCGCAGGAGCAGGAATCTGCCGGTAGAATCAAGAGTGAACTAGACTCAAAAAAGAAAAAGAAAACAACAGAAAATTTTTGCCGGATGAGGATTTTCTGATCTTTTAAAGTTGTTTTCACCAAGTGGGAGATATTGTCAAAATTCACAGCTGTCATGTCCAAGACACGATGTTAAGTTAATTTGATCAGTTTTGTCTCGTGTCTATGTTGTCTTGTGATTTCCTGTTTTATTTTGAAAGCTAACTCCTAACTCCTTCCCCTGTGTGTTTTCCCGCTGGTCTGATTGTCTGCCCCGCCCCTGATTGTTTCCACCCGTGTCCTTACCTTGTGTATATATAGTCTGCGTCTCCCTTTGTCCTGTGCCAGTCCGTCTTATCCTTTGTGTGAGAGAACCAGCGTCGTGTCCATGCCATTAGTGTAGTGAGTGATTTGCATTTTGTGTTTTTTTTATTAATAAAACTTTTATTTTGAACTTTGATTCCGAGTCGTGCATTTGGGTTCAGGTCCATAGTTCGGTCGTGACACCAGTGTCTTTGACTTTGAACTGGGCTGTAATTCAGAGACAGACACGAACGTTGTTTCGTCTCGGCTGCTCGTAAAGGAATAAGACATAAAACCTGACACGAGCTCAGCCACCAGGCGTTCACCCACAGCCTCCACTCAGAGGTCAACCCAATCAAAGCTCCTCATCTGGGACCAGTTTGCCAAGCGAGCCCGGTGACAGGGCCGCATGTCTCAGCTCAGTATCTAAGAGAACATCTCTCATCAGACATCGTTGATACGTGTCACAGTTTGACTTCAAATCTGGAAAATATCAAGAACAGCTGAGACAGAAGTTCCATCCAGCTCTGCTGTAATAATTTGTACTCTGAACGCATCCCAACACAAAGAAAGTGCACATGCCAATTAGTGTTATAGAGACTTTTCAAAGTCCCAGTTGGTGGGAAAGTGTCTGTCTCTGCATTTTATGACCACGAGTCCACAGGAGAGGTGAGGGGAGGTTTTAATGGAGCTCTCTAATGGAATCAGAATTCCTCTCTTAGCATCCAGAGAGAGTCCCGCTTAATCCTGCAGACGTGTCTTATCAGGGACTGTAGCTTTATTACCTCTTCTGGTCCACTCCCGTTCTCACTTCCTGTCTCTGTTGCTGCACAGAAGACACATCAAACACTTCCCTACAATGTGACACACAGCAGCTGTTGTGGAGATGTGTTGATGGCCTCATGTTTCTCTTTGTCTCTGTAGGATCCCTCCGAACATCAGAGACATAGTTTACTGCACCGGGGTGAGTCTGATGGACGAGGACGTGTGGGAGTTCATCTGGATGAAGTTTCACTCCACCAACGCTGTCTCAGAGAAGAAGATCCTGCTGGAGGCTCTGACCTGCTCGGACAACGCCTTCCTCCTCAACAGGTATGAACGACACCTGGGCTCAAAGACATGACCACAACCTCATCTATTCTCCATTTACGTACCAATCATAGATACATTATGATGTCATAGATGCAGCCAGTAGATGCCACTAGAGGGCGGAGTCAGAAGTTTCACACAACAACAAATGAGGCGACAGCAGAGGAGGTCATAAACATGTACCTTTAAACGGGGGCAGCGTTGCAGACGGCGTTGGTCTGTGAGGACGTTAAATACTAGGCATTTGGACAGACAATTCTTTTCACTACGTCACAGATTTGTTTGTCTGTTCTGCTGTTTTTTCGATGTCTTCTTCATGTCTTAAAGGCGTATCGTTCTTGAAATACGCTACACTGCCCCACGATCTTTGGTAATAACGCTCAGTTTCATCTGTATCCATAAGCTTTTAGAAAATGATCACAGATAAACGCAGAGTTCAGACAGAAGGCTCCGTCCTCGTCTAAATGCCCCGGTCAGTCACATGACTTCTCCTCAGTTTATTATCCTTACTTTTATCCAGAGAAACAGTTCGTTGCTCTTCAGTATTTCCTGGAAAAAGAGCTGTAACTTTTATGGACGCTGCCGCACGACTCTGTCAATTGATCACCTTCACGACTGAAAAGATGTTTGACTCTGATAGTAGTGACATCACTAATGTGAAGTTACTGATGTTAATGTTAAGAGTTAAGTTAGTAAAATACCTGGGCTTGTCACGATACCAGAATTTCAGTAGTCGATACCAACACCAGTGAATTTCTTCAATTCTCAATACTCATTCGATACCACGACAAAAATCAAAAATCAGAACTCGTGTTTCTAAATTCTCTACTTTATTAAAACTGTTTCAAACTTTAACTTTAACTCTAAGGCCTCATTTACACTGCAAGTGATCCACGAGCGTAGCAGCAGCACACGTGTATTCACACCAAAACTGAACAGACGCGTCACGCATCACACTCCAATAAACCCCAAAGAAGAAGTGAGTTTGGACCCAAAGCCCAGGGTGGACAGGTTCGCGCACCAGTGATTATTCCAACGCTTGGAGAATTAATATTTAGCACTACAAATGGGTGAGTGCATGAAACATGTGCCTGTCAGGTCTCGAGATGTCTACGGTGGCCGAGAGAGGTCACAACACACGCAAACTCGTGTTTTTTTGTTGAATATCGTGACCATTCGCTCGCGACTCGTGCAAAAAAATGTGCGTGTCTTCTATTTTCCAGCTTGCTTGCGAAAGCAGCGCAACTCGAGCAGCGCGTAGAACGGATGCAGTGTGAATGCTCTAACCTGTTAACATGCTCGCCGAAATGAAAACGCATGTAAACAGCGACTGTTCGCAAGCGCGACACGAAGGCATCGCTAGTGGTGTAAATGAGGCCTAACCCTCTCCACACACGACTCCTACTACCTGACTTTTCGACAAGCCGAGGTGTTGTGGCTCCAGCAGCACTTGTAGAAGCCATTGTTAGCAAAGACGACGGACAACAGGTGTTCGTCTTCGGCGCTCGTCCTCGGCACCGACTGACGCACGTATACTGCTCCCGTCAGTTCCGACAGGAACGGACTCGGCCCGCTGAGGGCAAAGTTGTATCCTGTACTTACGGTACCGAAAAAAAAAACAGGTAGCAACGTATTTTTTGCGTGTTGGCATCGACTTGGTAGCGAAGTATTGGTTCTCATGACAACCCTAGTAATGACACAACTGCCCAACGCTGCTGTCTATCTCTGTATATGTATCTGTTAGGTATCTATCCATGTACCTAACACCGCATTATGTGGCGCCGGCACCAGTGCCAATAATTATATCACATAACCTGACAATGAAGTTATTGTCACCATAAACACCTTTTCTAAACCTAATCAAGTAGATTTGCTGCCTCACTGTGGCGCCACCATGTAACACGGTGTTGAGAGGTCGTGTTCAGAGGTCGTAGGCATTTCATGTTTTTCTGTGAGAGCACGTTGTTCGAATGACACACTGCTGCTTCTGAGTTCCTTTATGGTTTAACCTCACAATGAAACCAAAAGATGTCTCAAAAGATGTTTCAAAGGATATATGAGACAGCTCTCTTTGAAACCACTCTATTCAATATTATTGATCTGCACATTAAGGTAGAAGCTGCTGGTTAAAGTCTCTCCCTCATGGTTCGTTTAAACCGCAGCTGCAAGAAAAACTAATTCTATCAATATTTATATTTTCCAAGGTTTGTCACATACTTGTTTTTTTACCTTCGGATAATGGTACACAAGTGGCTGCCCGCCTCGTTACACACAGGATTAAAGTCACCTTCTGACATTTTATGTTCCACTTTGTTCAGCAGCTCGTCTCTAATGGAGTCTGTCAGCTGGCTGCTGCCGAGCAGGTACAGTACAGTACAGTACAGTACAGTACAGTACAGTACAGTACAGTGGCTTTATCAGAGCTTGTTTGCTGAAAACAGCTGCTGCTGCTCCAAAGCAGATTAATGAGAGCCGTGAGACTGAAGCAAAACAGTAAAGGTGCCGGCTGTAAAACCACAACAATAAGTTGATGGACACTAAAACACTGCGCAGAGCTGCAGCGAAACTTCAGAGGCTGCTGGGAACTCTCCCCGTTCCTACTGCACTCAGGTTAGTTAGGTTTAGATCACTGAAGTTAGACTGTCTGACAGTTCAACACTTTCCAACAGATGATTCTCAAATCTGGGATGTTAAAGAGTTCTTAAATACAAAGAGAGTTTTCCAAACAGTTTCTGCTCTCAGCTCACTATATGTTGCAGACGTTAGGTTGAGTTTCTCCTCCTCCACATCTCAGAGGTAAATCTTATCACCGCACTACATTATGTGACAGCTTTAGTTACTTTACAGATTACAGATTCCTGGTCCATCTCTGTCCCAACCCTCACCTATGGTCATGAGCTCTGGGTAGTGACTGAAAGAATGAGGTCACAGATACAAGCGTCTGGAGTAAGTTTCCTCTGTAAGGTGTCTGGGCTCAGCGGTCGGCCGTCGACCAAAGTTGGGCCGTCGGTGAGCGTCTGTCGGCCTAGTTTTTGCGGTGTGTCCCACACTGTCGGCACTTCGGCATGAGAGAGCATGACCGGAAGGAAGCACAGCCAGTTAGCCTCCGCTAGTCTCTGAGCTAGCCCCGGCTCTCAGTTTGGATCCAACCGGAGCACCGAGCCCTGGTTTGTTATTCAGGTTAAAGTGGGAAGAAGCAGCGGGTTTATCGGGCAGCTGAGTGAAGTGGAGCCTGAGGAGGAAACACCGGGACCGTCTGGATGTAATAGTCCGTGGAGGTGCTGCGGTGCTCGGCTGCACAGATAGGAAACCCCTCGGCTGACAGGATGTACCACTCTCTCACTCCGCTCTCTCTCACGCAGGCGCAGAACGTACGTGCTACTTGGCCGTCGGATGTAGTCCGTGTAGTGTGTTCAAATGCAACTGACACAGGGCGACGTGAGGCGACGTAGACGACGCAACAGTTGGCTTTCGTCGCCGCTAGTTCTTTGATGTTGGTTTGGTGTGTCCGCACCTTTAGAGATAGGGGGAGGAGTCAGACATCTGGAGGGAGCTCGGAGTAGAGCCACTGCTCCTTCATGTTAAGGTGGTTCAACATCTGATCAGGATCCTCCTGGTCCAGCTGGTAGGAGGCCCCGGGGCAGACCCAGAACACACTGGAGAGATTATAGATCTCATCTGGTCTGGGAACACCTCGGGGTCCTCCAGGAGGAGCTGGGAAGAGGGACATCTAGGGTACTTCTTTGGGCCTGCTGCCCACGAGACACAGCCCTGCATAGGCGGATGAAAATGAATGAATGAACCCAACTGGTTAGTTCAGGGTGTCCAAACTGACACCTCTAATCATCACAAAGCTGAAAACAGGGCTGTTTGTTGGACACCATGAAAGTTGACTTGTCACAGGACAGCCACGCTGCAAACATGTGACGATCTTATAGAATATGATGAGCCGCTCATTTGTAGAATATCATACGAACCGTTGTGTGAGGATGCGTCGCTGTACATGAAACCACACTGCAGGATATAAAGGAGTTCAAATGAGCAAAACGTGAAACATCTACAGCAGGAAAATGACACATTACTGCAGCAGGAAGATCCATCCAAAAACATGATGATAGAAAATGGAAAACAGCGACAGCAGGAAGAGTTTACTGCACCGTCAGCACTTCTACTTCGATCAGGCTTTGAATGCAGGACCTCTCCCTGTAGTGGAGTATTTCCACAGTGTGGTGTTAATATTTTCACCACAGGAAATGATCTGAATACTTCCTCCAACTCTGTGTCTGTATCACAAAAGTTTGACCAAAAAAAGAATCGATGTGACTGTGGGATTTTTGCTCTTGAAGTTGCAGCAAGTTTTGGTGGCACGCTGAGAGAGAACCAGACTGCAGAGTGTGTGAGAGGTTGCAGAGAGAGTTTGCCTCAGGCCGTACATGTACGTAGATCTGCCCCTCTGTAAGTTAACAACGCAGTGTTTTATCACCAGCTAACTGCCGCTATCTCTCGTCGGGAAAAATAGTGAGGATGGATCTCTCACACACACACACACACACACACACACACACACACACTTGAAACTGTACAGTGAGACAGATCCATGTGTGAGTGTGTGTGTGTGTGTGTGTGTCGGGTATTGATTTTCCAGCCGCAGTAAACTGTTCTGCAATCAGAGAGGTAGTACTGCATGTTCAGATAGCAGCTATCACACACACACACACACACACACACACAATAAAAGGAACCACACCTCAGAAACACACTGATTGGTCACACAGGAAATGGTTTGAGCTCAGAGGGGTTGTGGGAAGAGAGAGAGAGAAAATTGATTTGGTGGTTTAATGAAAAGACAGCAACAAAACACACACACACACGCACACACACACACACGCACACACACAGAGCGATACAGAGAAATGGAAAGAGAAAGTGAAAGAAGATGAAGGTAAACTGTGAACACACGGCTGGATGAGTAAACATCAGTTTGATTGTGAAGCTGTGTGTTGTGTCTCTTTGTCTCGCTCTGTCTCATATCTTTAAAAAACACTTTATAAACTTTGTTCATGTGTTTACACCCAACTGTGTGTGTGTGTGTGTGTGTGTGATCACCAGGTTTCTGTAACTCCCTTCCATCTCAAAGAAACCAAACAAACATGGAGTAATCAGATTACTGTAGCTCGTGTGAGTGTTGTGTTCGTGGCTCTGAACAACAAAACAAAAACTACAAAATGTCAATTTCCTCCACACAACTTGACCTTTACTTCCTGTTTTACATAAACAGATATACAGCCTGCGTTTGTATTGGACAGCTCAGTGATGTGGTTTCCTGGAGACGATACAGAGACAGAGAAATATATTACAAGCCGACAGTTTGTAATTGTTTAATTTCCAGTTCTGTTAATTGAAACTCAGCACACAGCTGATAATTATCAGCCTAATGTGTTTAATGTTTGCACTGATGTTTCATTTTACATTTTTTTGGCATGTTAGGCTAAAAAAACACCCACGGGCTAAGATTGTTACATGCTAACAAACATGAGCATTGTACATTTTGTTAGCATATTGAGAGATGTTATCCACATTGTAAGAGCGAGACCTAAGGGTTATATTTTAGCAACTAATAGTCATTAGCATTTAAACTTTTTATAGCCTACTTATATCAATGAAGTGAAGATTATATTTCTGTTGTGCTAATGTAGCCTAGCTAAAACTTTCAAATAAGCAATGGGTTAATATTTTAGCATGCTAACTCTCCAAAATTCAAGCTAAAAAGGATCCACAGGCTAACTTTTATTACATTGATAAGGGTTTGTTTTGGGGATTTTTTAAATCTTTTTTTTATTTCAAGATGTGCAGGCTACCATGTTAGCATACTGTAAAACATTAGCATTCCAACATTTTTGCATTAGCACTGCCACGAAAATCATCACACTTCTAATATACTAATTTAGATAAAAAGTAAAACATGACATACAGGTTCATATTTTAGCATGCTAACTCCTCCAAAATTAATGCTAATTAAGATCCACATGCTAATGTTTTATGATATTAAGCATATTGATTTCTAGATGTAGCTGTGCTCATGTTTTAGCGTGCTAGCTTTTTAACAATTTTCACTGATACAGTATCTTAAGTAAGATTACATGTTTATTGTGTTAATTTAAGTAAAATTTTAATATGACTCACAAGTTAATATAAACAGGTTAATAGTTAGCGTGCTAACTTGAAATGGGCTATGTGTTTTTAAACATGTATGCTAAAATATGATCCAAGGGTTAATGTTTTATCATATTTATAAAGTGTTTATGTGTTAATATATTTCAAGATGTACAGACTAACATTTTAGCATACTGTGAAACATTAGCATTCTCACATTTTTACATTAGAATAGCCAAGAATATAGTCACACTTCTAATATGCTAATTTAGATCAAAGTGGTTAATATTTTAGCATGCTAACTATCCAACAATGAATGCTAATTAAGATCCACAGGCTAATGTTTTATGATATTAATTAATTATGTTGATGAGGGTCTCTGTGTTAAAAAGATGTACAGGCTAACATTTTAGCATACTGTAAAACAACAGCAAACATGACATACAGGTTAATATATTAGCATGCTAACTCCTCCAAAATGAAAGCTAATTAAGATCCACACGCTAACGTTTTATGATATTAAGCATATTGATTTCTAGATGTAGCCGTGCTAATGTTTTAGCATGCTAGCTTTTTAACAAATCTTCATTGATGCAGGCTGCTCTTGAGTAATATTACGTGTTTATTGTGCTAGGTTAAGTAAAATTAAATGACTCTCAGGTTAATGTTAGCAAGTTGATAGTTAGCAGCTAATGCTAACTCCCCGGAATGGACTGTATTTTAGCATGTATGCTAAGGTATGTTCCAAGGGCTAATGTTTTATTTTGTTGATAGATAGTTGTTTTTTTTTATGTCTGTTTTAAAATATATCCAGATGTACCGGCATATTAGCATCCTGTGAAATATTAGTACTCTTAAATTTTACATTAGTATTACTGTGACAATACTTTTACCACGCAAGTTAAAGTGAAAGTAAACATGACATAGGCATTTAAACTGCTAAAATAAGATAAACAGACTCATGTTTTATCACACTAATAAAGGTTATTGATGAACGTCTGTGTGCTTTAGAAGTATAGGCTAATGTTTTAGTGTGCCATGAAACATTAGCATTCTAACATTTTTCATTTTAAATATCATGAATAAGATCACACTCTTATTATGCTAATTTAAGTAGTAAATGGAAATATGACTTACTGGTTAATATTTTTAGCATGCTAACTTTGCACAGATTACTGAAAGTCATGACACACTTCCATGTAGTAAACTATGTGCACTTTGTGCTTATTGGTGTAGTGCGTGAATTTCGACAGGGTAGTGTTGTCTCACTCACTCACTGGAAATGACGACTGCAAATTAGCTAGTTAGCAAATTAGCATTAGCATTCACGTTATTGTTCGTGGTACCAAATCATTACAGACTGCTGAATGAACCCAACAAACATACTGCTGGCTTATACCTGACAACAGTATAGTGGTGCTTAGTGCAGAAAACACATGTATTTGTACAATGCAGCGACGCTCACGGTCGCACAGTCCTCAGCTGCTATTTCCTGTTTGAAAAGTGGCCCCTCTCCTTCCGCTACGTAGCCAAGATGGCGACCATTGAGGGCAGGAAGTGTCCATAGTTCCACACTCAACTTCTTGACCGTTTTGAGTGCACCATCCAGGTACTCATAGTGCACTGCATTTTTCCATACTTCTCAGTGTGAACACACTTATGCACTCACAATATTAAATGTAAGTACAGCAGTACGCGATTTGAGACACAGCATAAGATCCACAGGCTAATGTTTCCTCTTGTTAATTACAAAAAAAAAAAAAAAAAAATTCATTAGTTCATTAGTGCACTAAAATATTTCAGGACATACAGGTTTATGTTTAAGTATGCCAACATTAACATATGAGCTGTAGAATAATATTTGTTACCGTGCTAGCCTACGTAAACCTTTTTAAATATACAGGCTAATTTTTAGCATGTTAATCTTTGCTTAAGAGAATCCTTAGCATGCTAACATGATTTCCCAAACAGGCATGCCTCGCTGAATCTCTTAATAATGGCTGTAGAGGCTGACTTTGTTTTCCAAGACCACAACGCTCACCTCTGATCTAAAGTGATCATTATCACTTTCACCATGGTTACTGAGCTTGGCTGTGTCTCTGTGTCTCCCAGGTTACTGAACCTGTCCTTGACCTCTGACCTGGTCCCAGAGCAGGATGTGATCGACGTCATCATCCACGTGGGCAGAAACCCTCAGGGTCGAAACCTCGCCTGGAAGTACTTCAGAGAAAAGTGGGATATCCTCAACGCACGGTGAGTCAGTCAGCACACGTAGGAGTGTTTGCACATGTTGTTCCATACAGAGACACTCATAACACTGACTGTCTGTCTCGTTGTCTCTGCTCAGTTATGGCGAAGCGCTGTTCATGAATTCGAAGCTCATCGGTGGAGTGACAGAGTTCCTGAACACTGAGAGAGAACTCAATGAGGTAACGACACAAACACACATCACAGAGGTCAGATTTACAGGTGAATGTATTCAGTGTCCGTCCACTGATGACCCGTCTCACCTCAGCTCTAATGAGCTTCACAGAAACAACGGTAAGATCAGGGATTTACAGAAAGTATTTTCACCCATCAGTAAACACTCAACACCCCATAATGAAACTGCAAAAACAGGACAGAAACAACTCAAATATCATATCAAGTACTCAGACCCTCAGGTGATTCCTGAATCTTTCAGGGGATGTACAAACAGAATATTCTGTAAAGATGCAACAAGTCAACAGGTGTTAACGGCAAAACACCGAGGACCAAACATGCAACTCCTCACTGCACACAACCCATATCTCATATCAAACATTTATACTTCATCACCTTCGTACAATCTCTGTAAAGAAAGGAGTCAAATGTTTGTAACAACAAATTTTGCCTCATATCAGCAGCCCTGAGATGATCAAACTTAATTCGCTGTTTCACTTCTTAATTTGCTTTTGATGAAGCACCGCTGCAACCTGTGGAGCACTTGTGCTTCAGGCGAAATACACGATGACGTCACGTTTGGCTCGCGCCCCTTGCCCCAGGGACACTGCAGGGAGAATAAACCTGCCTCACAGCTGGCAGCATGTATCAGAGCAGAGGACAGAGCTGCCTGCAGAGCTCAGACACAGGGTGGTGTCGAGGCAGAGATCTGAGGACGGCTGCAGAAACATTTCTGCTGCATTGAAGGTTTCAAAGAGGACAGTGGCCTCTGTGACTCTCAGAATGGAAGAACTTCTAGAATTTAACATCCAGCAAAAACTGAGGAATGACAGGAGAAGGTCCTCGATAGGAGAGATGAGACTGAGGCATGAGCTGCAGGCCTTCAGATCAATCATTGCGTCAGTGTGTTCTTGAGAAAATTTTAAAATCTGCTGTTGATTATTTCAAGAGAACAAAGCAGCAGTGGTGATAATTGTTCCTCTGGTGCTGTAATTCATTTCACACCTACGACACATATTTATTTTGATTTTATTTAAAGTTCTAGTTTGAAGGATTTAGTGACATCTAGTGGTGAGGCTGCAGATTGCAACGTACTGCCACCTCTCTCATGTGCCAAACATCTAGAGGATGCACTGATTTATCGGCTGCACATTGGTGTCAACCGGTATTCTCCTTGTTGACTGCCATAGCCCTGTCAGCAGTAAGGACCTGTGTCCACGTGGCGTGGGTTTTCTTTCTATGACAACAATATGTTGACACGAACATTAGCCAGGTAGCTAACATTATGCTACGTTAACACAACATTTTTAACGGTGATAAAAACACATCACTCAGTATCCACCAGCTGATCTGCACCCAAAACTGAGCTTTTCTGTCTTCCCTGTGACAGTAGCTTAGCTAAAGAAGCAGCAGTGACATCATCGGCACCTTTCTGAAAAGTTCGGAAATTTTCAACTTAGAGCGCTCGGAGCGACCACACAAAAAAGGCAGCGCGATCTGAAAAAAGATAAAGACACCGACGCTGAGAAATAAGCGCTTTGTGGACACAGACTCGAAGGGGGCGATCACACAGAAATGAGACACTAGAGACGTGGATGCTTCAAAGACGCTTGAAACGCTGGAAGAGCTTATTCAATGAAACTATGAAATGAAATATTTTTAATGAAAATATTTTAACTTTTCATCGTCTACGTGCGTCTACAAAGAAGCATCTAAAAAGAAGCGTCTACAAAAAGGCGCATCTAAAAAGAAGCCAGAAAAATGCCTGTCTAAAAAGACGCTTGAAAGCCTGTCAGACGCGCCGTATGATAGGAAAACATTGGTTTTACTGGCATCGCGTTTCTAGCGTTTCATCTCGGTGTGATCACTCCCTAAGATTATATTCACCGTTGACGGTGGCCAATGTTTCTCTTTTGTGTGACATCGGTTTTGTGCAGCGTCCCGCCATCCTAGGGACAACAGAAAACATGTTTGGGATGAACTTCCTTAGGAGGAAAAGAAGACGCAGTAAACTCCCTATCGATGCGTCAGAGGACACACCTTATTGTCTCCCTGATTATATTACATTGTGAACAACAAATCTGTGATGACATCAGCAGGAGGAGAGCTAGTTAACGTTAGCAGTTAGCAGGATTGGAAATGAACTTTTTTGTCTACCAGCCACTCAGTAGATCGACATTGGGTTTTTTGGGGGTGGTGCGTGAAACAAATCTAGCAGCATATTCTACCTGCATTTGGCTGGTGGCTGGTTCTAATCTTAGCAGTTAGCAGTTAGCTGTTAGCAGTTAGCAGCTGGTGGCTGAAACTAACAGCTGACAGAGGTTGCATTGAGTTACAGTATGATGCGTTCAGGCTCTATTCAGCAAAAAACAGTACTGGGCTAAAGTAAACTGTCATGACATGTTCAGTGTAATCTTGTAAAATGTTAGCCTGGAAATCCAGACTGAAATCTAGAAAGATTTTGAGTCTGGCCCTCGCCGATACACCCTTCCTACCCAAGGGGCGGCACTAACTGAGGCATATGAAATGCTGCCGCACGCAATTGGATAGCACGATGGCTAATCAGAGCAAAAAACATGGTGACATATTCATTGCACTACGCCCCATTTGTTTGCCGACCAGTGGGGCTAACTGATATATTATGCTTTTGCCGTATCCCGTCGGCAAAACGGCAAAAACGTCTTTCCTGGAAGTGAAGGCTTCTAGGGCAGTCTTCTGATAAGTGTAAGAAGAAAGATAAGTGTAGTTGGCTCAGTGTTTCTTCCAAAGCTAAACTGAATGGACGCAGACCTTCACCAGCTGCCATCTTGGCTGTTTACTTTCCGACTCCAACGGCGCGGCGCTGTCCTCATCATGTTACGCCTGCCCAGAGCCCGCCTCTGTCAGATAGACTGATCTGATTGGTCCGATGGCGATTCAGCAGGCTCTGCTCGTCAGGGTCAGATCCCCCTGCAGAGCAAATTAGAATTTGTTAGGGGCAGGGCATCTGGATTTCCAGGTTAGTAAAATGTAGTCTTTGGTGTTTTCACAGCAATATAAAATAGATAATAGAGAGTGAAATATTACAGATTACATAAAGTATCAAGACTTCTGAAGCAGTTTTTTAAAGCTGTTCATATGAAAGGTTATTTTAAAGGTTGTTTTGTAAATGTGTATAATTGAATTGTGCTCATTCAAAGGTGTGACATGTAATAAAAGGCTGAATGACTTTAAAACTATTCAGGTATTTCTTTGTGTCCCTGAAACAAAAGAGGGAATAAATAACAAGAAAAACAATATAAACAGCAACAAAACACCAGTATTGGTCCAGAATTTCACAATCGGTGCCTCTTCACCCCGATCTAGAGCCAGTGTTTGGTTTGTTCTGTTCTGGGCTTCTGTAGAAACATGGCAGTGCAACATGGCGGACTCTGTAGACGAGGACCTGCTCCCTGTGTAGATATAAACATTCTGAGGTGACAAAAACACAATGATTCTTATTTTCAGGTGATTATAAAGAAAGGAAAAAACATAGATATATATATATTAAATTCCATTCCTGCCAATAGAGTTGTGGTTTTATGAAACTCGCAGGATGCTGTATTGAAAGTATAAAGTAGAACTGAAATGAAAGCAGGAGGAACAATGAGACGCTCCAGATGAGAGACAGGAAACAAACACTTCTCTAATATTCACATTTTCCACAAAGAAAAAGAGCTGTGGGCGTTCCTGGATTCAAATCTGTCTCCAGTTTTCTCTATTTATTTTTTGTGATGAATACTTTTGTGGTGAAACCATTTTGTTTGAGATGTGCACCTCTCCTGTTGGCATGGTAACAACCAGCAGCATTCAGTCACAGCCTCTGAACAGAATCATCACAAATTAAAACAGGACCTCTGAATACAAAAACTCTGAAATGAAAAGAACGATGGCTCTTTTATTTGCACTGTGCTGAATGTGTTTTTAGAGAAAAGTAAAGATCCGCCCACGAAGCAAATTTAAAAATGGATGAATCATGGCGAAAAGGAGAGGTGAGACGTAGAAAGTAAGGAGGAGGAGAAGGAGGAGTGTGAAGTAAAGGAGTGGAGTTAACGATATGTACTGTATTAAAGCCAGTTGAAGGGATGGATTTCCTCCTGCGCTCCACTGAATCTGTCAAACTCTGAACAACACCAAGTTTCCTCTTCAGTCCTTAACTTTGAAAACCACATTAATTCTCCTCCTTCAGCAGTTCAAAGTTTCTCTTTCCACAAAAGAAGTTTCTCTTTTCGTATCTCACCTCTCACGCTGAAAACTTTCCATTTAATTACCGTCCTTTAAACAGTTTCACTTTGCTGCCTCTGCTTTGATGCCGGACATTTTACCTCTCATTACGAACCTTTAAAACAAAGTTTCTCCTTTAATTATCTGCGTTTTAAAGACAGTTTAGCTTTAATAACTCTGCAGTGTTTTTGACTGACAATAAAAAGGGAAGTCTTCTTTTAATAAAACATCAAGAAACTCAGTGGGTATTTCCAACACGCTGGGCTGGAATAAGATTTACAATATGTCCAAAAGTATGTGGACACTCTTTCTACAAGAGTTCTGGAGGTAGTTTTCTTTGATGTTGTTTTACATAGAAACACAGGACTCTACCACATAATTGAACAACCCTGTGGGTTTGTTTTATGGCCATGTTTAATTATTTGAACTTTGCTTCTGAGAAATCATGTTTTATTGATTGTCTTGGAGGACATGTCTAAATATTACAATACCCATGAAGCACGGCCAGAGGCCAGTCAGAGACATGAATCAGAGCAGTGGTTAAAGGGATATTCAGCCATTATCTACTCACCCATATGCCGAGGGAGGCTCAGGTGAAGTTTTAGAGTCCTCACATCACTTGCAGAGATCCAAGGGGAGAGGAGGTAGCAACACAACTCCACCTAATGGAGGCTGACGGCGCCCCAGATTCAAACGTCCAAAAACACATCATTGAAACCACAAAATATCTCCATACTGCTCGTCCATAGTGATCCAAGTGTCCTGAAGCCCCGACATAAAAAGTTGTTTGGAAAAACGTTGTGGTCTTGCGCGAGACCGTGAGACATGGGCACCGTGTTCATGTGTGTTCACGTGCTTTTGCTGGTCTCGCGCAGTGCCCGGAGAGGCAGTCAGAGCTACAGGCTACAATGAGGCTAAAAACAGAGTTCAAATGAGGTTTTTCCAAACTGCCTCCACGATCTCCGGTGTTGCTGCTCCGTTTCGTCTGTGTCCGTAAGCTTTCAGAAAACATGCAATAAGCCCTAAAGGGATTCTGTTACTAATAGAGTACTTTATTCGATACCGCTGGCTGTTCTCATCCACCGTTCGTACGTTTTCCTACAAAAGGTAATGCACCAAAAATTTCTTGTATATCCCTCATAATCAAGAGCCACTCATTTGTGCGTAACGAACTGAACTGGAAGGCTGCGATCACGTGCAATCCGATGCGCTGATGGGAGTAAAGAAGGAGACAGGTTGTGGCGGTGGATGTGTCACAAAACTCAGGACTTTTCCCCAGAGACCAGTGTTGGGAACCGTGTGAGTCAATTTATGAACATCCTCACCGTGTTACTATTCCAAAACCTAACCTCTGTAACTTTACGTTAAGTTCGTAACATGTGGTGGGGGCACTAATTCGTAGGATATCATACAAACTGTTGTATGAGGATATGTTGGACAGCCATGACATGAATGAAGCGGTGCTGAACTCCTGAATCTGTCAGGGAAGTGGGATAAAAATTTTTAGTCGTGCGGCACTTAAAAACTTTCCAAATGTTGTGGGACAGAATGGATCAAACCCTGATAGTGAGTCATTTTGCAAGAGTTGTAACGCTGAGAAAAATTTATCCATTCATTGACAGATGTCTCTTTCATGATGTAAGTCAATGGGAAGAAGTCTTTTTGGGCCTCATGGCATCATGTATCGGACCTGGAAGTTGTAGTTCGGCCACAACATCAAATGGGCTTCAACTCGGGCACGATTTCTGGGGCCTGGTGGTGTCGCATCACCAAGGTTGTTTGTTCATTTTGGTGATATTTATAGAAGTGTGCATCTAACTTTGCGATACAGTTTGTAGCTCTATCGTCGGACAAAACCTTACAGTACTACAGTACTGACGACAGGTTTGTTCACACTATCAGGTGGAGTTTCATTTCTTTTTAAACCTCTTGGGAGCTGTAACATTTCTGTCTTTTTTTCCTGGATGTCACAGAGGTGTTTCTAATAACTTCTCTATCATCTCTTCATTCCCCCTTCCCTCCATCTCTCTTTCCTTCTACCATCCTTTCTCTCCTCAGTTAAAGGAGTTCATCCAGACCAGCGGTGTCGGGGCAGGGCCTGCGTTGCCGCGGGCGCTGGAGATCGTCGAGGGCAACGTGCGCTGGCACCGCCTCCACCGACGGCAGTTCTACCAGTGGCTGCGCAAACCTCCAAGCCCCGCCCTAGGCTAATGCTACACCAGCTAGCTAGAGTGAAGTGACTGCAAACTGACTGCTAACTCAATGCTAACGCACTGCTAGCTAACAGATGCAGTCAAATAATACTACAAAAAAAATGACTGAGTGAAGAGAGAGACTGACCTGAGTGTTTCTCTGCTGGTTTTGTTTTTAAAGAATTTTGTTTGCAAATTTTTTTGTTTCAGAAATATATTTCTTCAAAGCTGCACATTAGCTAGTGATCACTGATTCGGTAATCGCAAGCTAGCAGCTAGCCTCAAAACTCCTCAGTGACTAAACCACAACAATTTCTGAGTTTAAATAGAAGCAGATGATTTGAACAACAATTTAACAAACTTTTAACAGACAATATGTCATTTTCTGCTGTCTCAGTCAAAACAATAGCAAAAGACAGAGCAATCCCGTCACTGCAGTCAGTTTCTCCAGGTTAGGATTCCTTCAGTGTTACTTGTTCAGGAGGTTTTTACCAGGAGCTGAATTATCCTCAGAAGACTCTTCCTCTCTGAAACAAACAGACACGGTGATTCAAAACAGTAAAAACACTGAATAAAGCAGATTCACGTTATAAGTCTGTGTTTCTCAGATGCACTTTGGTTCATCGTGGACGGGCTGTTAGCCCAGCACCTCCTAATCTGTGCTCACATTTTGTGTCTGATAACGTAAGATCCAGATGTTCAGGAGGTTTTTACTGTGAGCTGAAATATCCACAGAGATCTCTTCCTCTCTAAAACAAACAGACCAGCTGATTTAAACCGTTAAACACACTCAATAAAGCTGCTTCATGTTAAAGATCAGTGTTTCTCTGATGCTGTTCAGCATGGCAGGGGCTGTTAATATTTGTTCAGCTTGTTTCTCTGATAACTTGCGATCCAGACGTTCAGGAGGTTTTAACCATGAGCTGAATTATTCCCAGAAGTCTCCTCCTCTCCAAACAAATGGCCCCGATGATTTAAACCAGTATAAACATGTAATAAACCAGTTTCATGCTGAAAATCAATGTTTCTCTGACACTGTTTGGCACAGCAGGGACCGGAGCCGAGCTTCCTCTGATGAAATGACCAAGATATAAAAGTACATCATAAAAATGTGATTAAAAAGTCAATTAAAGACAGCTTATGGCAGAAAACACAAAGAGGATTAGACGCTACTGACAGGTGACAGCGACCACATGATACAGACCGTGTTCTTGATTAAAATGTTGCTCTGGGTCTGAACTTTGTTGGAAGCCTTTGGAATGAAGTTTAAAACTCAACAAAATATAAAACATTGGTCTTGTTTTTTTTCGACAATTTAATGTGGAAAAGTTAAACAGTATGTCTTTAAGCATTTCTACTTCAGTAGTAAAAGTTAAAATCTATGAAACACATTCAGTATTTGATCTGCAAAAAATTTAGTTGCCAATGTGTCTGTGTCACTTTGCAGTTACACCTCCAGAACACTAGTTGGCGGTAAAGTTTGATTGAAAGCACACAATAAACATTTCTTAATAGTGACAACATCAAACAAAAGTACACAAATTAGCTTCATTATAACTACAAATACAACATGCTAACATTATTAGCACAAGCCTATGGCATTTTACATTGTATAAACTAGCCTAGCTGCTAGCGGAGTTTTCCTCTGCTCATATAAAACCAGGGACAACAGCAACATTTAACAAAGGTAATGTTCTAAAATTCAGCTCCATTACAGCTCACAAGGTTCACTGTCAAAACAACTGTCTGATACTAAACACGTTTTCCAAACAAATACAACACGCTAACGTTATTAGCACAAGTCTATGGCATTTTACATTGTATAAATTAGCCTAGCTGCTAGCGGAGTTTTCCTCTGCTCATATTTCAGCCAGGATAAATCACACACAGTCTGTGGAGGCTTTATTGTACAGAAATAAACAGGAGGTCTGCGTCGCCACAACACATGGTGTCATTTTTGGGGGGCAGCACATCAGGCTACAGTGTAGGGTACATGTATTCGTAGTGCCTTCGCCATAGGTACAGCGTCAGCTCGATGCAAAAGGATAAACCCCACCAAACATATTCCAGCAGTAGGTAATGGTTGGTTTATTGACTTAAAAACCAAAGTTGTGTTTTCAGGCAGTTTTCTGTTAACGACAAAATAACCAACGATAATTAAAAGACTGTGGAGCCTTCCTGACAAACATCAGACACTGAAGGTTAATGTTGTGATGTGACATCACATGAAGGTTGATGTTTGTTCAGGAGACACAGATGTCAGACACTCCCTCATCTCCATCACCTCCATCTGACAGCTTCTCATGTCCGAGCTAATGATCTGAAAATCAGATCCAGATCAGACCAGAACCTTTGACTGTCTAATTTGACCCTGAAACTGACCTGAAATCAGGGAAAACATCCGGGCCAAATGTCTCGCTCTTAAAGGAACAGGCACCGTCTGTGATAGGATGGATAAATATTCCGATCTGTAATTTTCTGCCTCTTGATTGGCTGTCTAAAGATGAAACTGGTGTTTTCAGCTCTGCTTGGCTTCAATCCAAACTCTTCACTAACCAGAGACCCTGAACAGTTTAAATCGGACCTTCCTGTGTTCGCTACATTAAACCGGCTGACATTAAAAGGCAGATTAACCAGCAGTCAGCTGCATGTCGATCATTGAACAGAGATGTAATTAACACAACATGGACTCGGTGTCCTCTGATCACAGCACTCAGAGGACTCATTCAGACTCATTAACTCCCCACAACACTCAGACTGCTTCAGCGTGAATTTAAAGAGCAGCTTTGTTTTTTCAGGATCAAAAACTCCAGCAGTTTGGAAAATATCAGCGGGTCTGGGAGGCTTTGGTGGGGCCTCACTTCAGAAATGTACTTTGAATATAAAAGCTCATAATAACTTAAAAATTTTCACTCTAAACCACAGAGAGCGCCACATGTAGGAGAACAATTTCCCACTACAGAGCAGTGATGCTGTGGTCCGTGTTGTGTTTGAACCACAGAGCTAAAAATGCTTTTCAAAGGCTCAGAGTGAAAACAAATTAACCAGACACAAATGGGTTCTCACATTAAAGGTATGAAGGGATGAAGCTCAGGTGCAGCAGAAACTGAATCTGACATTCTTCACATTTAGATCGACAGAGTTTGGAACGGAAACAAAATGTGTGACAGTTCCAGTTTTCATTTGCCAACCTGTTCTCACTCGTAAGTCTGACGCTTTGTCCCGCCCCTCGGCGTCTCTATGTGACGCACAGGGCACCCTTTGGCGTCTCTGTGTGACACACAGCTGAGACACGTTATAACTCGGGGTGGGGAAATAATGGATACAGCATAGTGTCGTGATATTTTAGTGTGGCAGTATCGTATGATCACACAAGGCCAAGTAGTGATTCTTTTATGATATAAATGACTAATATGACAAATACAAATTAAACTTAAAGAAGCCTACAAGAATAATATAATCAATATAATCAATGCAAAAAAAAATGTCTGCGGTGAGATGAACAAACTGAAAACTTTAACTTATTAGATAAAAGAGACGTGACAGTTTTCCGTTGGGGACAGTATATATGTTATCGCTATACTCAGCATATTGCAGCATATTTAAAATCAACATTGTATCGTGACTCAAAGGGATAGTGCACCCAAAAATGAAAATTCAGCCATTATCTACTCACCCATATGCCGAGGGAGGCTCAAGTGAAGTTTTAGAGTCCTCACATCACTTGCAGAGATCCAAGGGGAGAGGAGGTAGCAACACAACTCCACCTAATGGAGGCTGACAGCGCCCCAGATTCAAACGTCCAAAAACACATCATTGAAACCACAAAATATCTCCATACTGCTCGTCCGTAGTGATCCAAGTGTCCTGAAGCCCCGACATAAAAAGTTGTTTGGAAAAACCTCATTTGAACTCTGATTTTAGCCTCATTGGAGCCTGTACTTGGATCACTACGGACGAGCAGTATGGAGATATTTTGTGGTTTCAATTATGTGTTTTTGGACGTTTGAATCTGGGTAAGTCCATTTGTTACATTAGGTGAGGTACAAATGTTACGTAAGTAAGGTCAGTGCTTGAAGAACGTACCTGAATTACTGCTTGTAATGTTATATTAAAGTAGTCTTGACTTTCGCTTCACACGGGACATGAATGTGGGAGAAAGTCTGGTTTTGTTTGACCCATCCACCTCCCCTTCGTCCCACCATGAATGGACTTTCTTGCTTTTTATGCTACGTCAGTCACTCTCAATATCAAGTGCTGCTGCAGATGGGTTTACATTGGATTTAGCAGAGGGTCAGTGTGTCTCATAAAGACGCTGAAAGGTGCCTTTGGCATCAATATCAGACCCCGAGGGCTGCTACAAATCAATGGTATTTGACAACTTGGGAATGAGAACGGGCCGGAACCTCTGTCTATAAATTAAATGTTTTTACCTGATGTGAGATGGAAAGACTAAATGATTAATGAAATATGAAGTAATTTAGTTTTGAAGCAGAGGTACAAACTGCACCACAGTTTGAAAAAAACACAGAACAGAACAATTAAACTGTGAAACTAAAATTTGTCCAGCCATAAAAATCCACCGCCTTAAAACAGACGATACAAATGTTGCACACAAAGAAAGGCAACAAAGGAAAAGAGAACAAGTTGTTCTATGCCAGATTTCTTCTTACTTTCTTCTTCTTAGCTGTACAAGAATATAGAGTGCTGCAGGAATGAGTCAGCATTGGGTGGGTTTTTAGTTTGATGTGTGAAATAAAGTCTGTAGTTAACACAAGCTGAAGAGACGTTCAGAATCAGAATGTCTTTTATTTATCCCGTTGGCTTTTTGATGAGGGAATTAGGGTGACGCTAACCTCTGTGTCAGTCTACAGAAGTCGTCCCTGCAGCGCTTTATTTATCAATTAGAAAGTGTAGGTCACATGATTCAGGACATCAAGCTTTGTTCTAACGTCACTTCCTTGTTCACCCATTTTCTGATTTAGGTGTAAATGTTGTGGCAAATTAAGATGGCGGAGACCAATCAAAGTTTCATGTCAGATGGTTAATATATGTATCTGTTATCAGCATAGACAAAGCCGTGCATCATGGGATTTGTAGTCAAACTTCTCATTCTCTAAACACTGCAATTCCAGTGTAATTGTGGGAAGTTATGACACTACAAACTACATATTGTACATTCAGAATTCAGACAGTAAAATGACAGTGAACAAAAATAATGAACTACTTTGACACAGCTCATGTTAAAATAGTTTCCCCAAACTCCGCCCACCTGAAATCTGTCAGCCAATGAACTCACTCGACCTCGTAAACCCTGACAGTAACTCCTGAGAGGGAATAAGAAAATAAAGGAAGTGACAGATGGATGAGAATCTGTCTTTGTGTCAGACTGAGAGGAGTCGAGGGACGATGAATCCGACAGTGGACTGACTTTGAACTGACTTTAGAGATTTAAACTCTGACCAAATAAAAACTCAGCAGATCTCATTCGTTTCACAAAAAAGCACAAAACCATGAAGTTGTTTAAAAGAGGAGGCACATCGGCCTTGGCTGCTGGACACAAACTAAAGTCACAACACAAAGATATTTTTTTAGCCAATCAGCTTTCAGTAAATCCTTTTTGTTTGTTTGTTTGTTTGGTCCCCAGATGGATGTTTAAATGGTTTTAGGAAGGAGGATGGTAAAACTGGGGAGAGAAAAATGGTAGACAAGACAATTGAGTTTATGTTGAGTGTCTTTATATGCAGACGATGTGGTGTTTTTAATGACAGATTCAAACTTATTATCAGTGGGCTTTTACAGCTTGTGTTGGAT